CTCGACAGAACAATGTGTAAGTGCCCATTTGAAGGCGTTCGATTTGAAAAAGGATGGGATGGGAACCTCACGAGCAAGCTGATACACAAGCCTCACTTTCAGTCTTGATTCATGTGCCTTGAACCTTCTTTGCTTTGGCCAAGGCGGAAATACGGCCTGGACTCCGCGAACCTGGGGCCCAAGAACCAGGCGAAGCGAAGCCGCCCGCAAAGCTTGGAGAGGCTTAGAGCTGAGTAGGTGGCAGCTTCCTCCACGCCCTGCGAACTTTCATGCGCTGCCCCCTGGTGGCTATGAACGTGCTTGTCGACTCCTGAGCCGGAAACGCCCAAGGGTGGATTCAGAAAAGCACACACTGTGGTCCTTTTGTGGCAGGTAATCATCTACGAGATGATACCTGGGCACCGGCCTCGAAGCCTTTGAATCTCTACAGATGTCCGGAGCTGACCCCCCCATTTGCTTCAGGTAACATTTCTTGGTTGGGGCTTCGCCGTCGAGAGCGCTCTCAAGGCCAGAGCTGGTCACGGAGCAATGAGTATCGGGTCCGGCTTGGGAAGTCCCCCCACCGCAGAGCACTCTTCTGCTTCTCTCGTCAGAACAAGGTCTTGTTTCCGAGCAAGTCAAACCACGATTTCCAAAGCTCTAGCCCGCTTTGACAAATCCTCCGAGGTTGCGAAGCACCCTCCCCTCCCTCCACCGGACGCGGCTGGGGCTGCCAGCTGTGAGCCAGCCCTTGCCGGTTAGTTACACCAGGCGTACATGCAGCTTGAAGGGATTGTGAGGTCAAGTTGCCTGAAGTACTAGCATCTCATGAGATAATCAAGAATCAGAATCATTATCATTGCACGATAAGAGAGTGACCTCAGGATCTTGGATCGCCTTAGATGGACCGTTTCACGGCACGCCAAGCGCTTTGTTTCGACGTGCGCTGTCTCGGTTGAAGGTTGAAGCTGACAGGTGCTGTGATGAGCCAAGGATAAGGTCTCTGCAGCGGAGTCTCGTATGGGCCCGTCCACAGCAAACAGGGAGCAAGTCGGTTCAAGAACGCATGCCGCATACCGGGGACCTGAAGACCTTCAGCATGCAGTTTTCTCTGGTGATAAAAGGGCAGACGCATCTTTTTCCAGCATAAGTTGAGGATTCAAGATGCTGAGGACTTTGCTTGCACCGCCGACAAGACCATGCTGCCTGCCCTCGCTGTTCAATGCTGTTCCGAGTCGCGAATTACCACATCTGCCTAAACCGATCTCATGTCATATTGGGGTGCGAAGCCCACGCTTGCACCTTTCAGCCCCTGAGCGCGACTGTGTCATGAGCAACATGTTCCCCTCTCCCAAGTGTAGGTTTCCAGAAAGCATGCCGGCACCTGGAACTTCCGCAGCGGATGTGAAGCAGCCGCAGCGGCACCCCCGGGCGCGAGCAGAACGGGAAGCCGGGGCCCAAATAGTGAACTTGCGTCAGCACTCAACCTGCCGCCCAGAGCATCCCAGAGCTAATGATCGTCTGTTGCAGGACCTGAGCAGGTTCCTGGGGAAACCGCGAGTCAGGCACCAATGGCGTGAGTCAGGGTAAAAAGGAGAAGTGTCAGTCATGCGCTGAGATGTGTCAGTGAAAAAGAGTCTAAAAAGAGTGATCCCTGGTTCCTGACTCGACCTGGCGGCGTCCGACTCCGCGAAAGGGCGCCCACCGATTCCAGTAACAGACACCTCCCGGTTCCGCAGGTTCCTGGACCTGGCTGCGGAGGCAACGGTTAGTGCCTGCAGAAGCATGATACGGCAAGCGGCGGACTTCAGTTCTTTTGGAGCCCTTGCATGTTTTGACATTGTGAGCTCGCTGCCAGCGCCTGGTCAAACATCTCTGTTCCTGCCCACCTCACTAAGAGTGGGGAGTTATGACGAAGCGTCGAGATGCGTTGCAGACATATGCGCTGCGGGAGGACCTGAGTGACCTGTCAGATGCGGAGGAACTTCCAGGGCTGCTGAGGGTCTGAAGCCAGAGCCCAGGCATAGAGACCCAGGAAGCAAGATTTGATTAAAGTCAGTTCCTGCCACTTTGGGCAGCTTGAGTTCGTCTCCAGTTGCCCAGGAGTACTTTAGCGGTTTCACTTTATTCCTCGCAGTTTCAGCAGGAGTTGCTCTCGCCGCTGCCAGACTGCTCGCTGGGAACACAGCTCCCACAAGGGCTAGCGGGAATTCGGGGTTTACGATACTATAATTATAATAAGGAGCCCCCAAAATATGTCACCGGAGGCTTTCCCACGGGTTGGCGCGGTTGGGGTCTACGTGGCATTGGATAGCGCTCTGGAGAAGGCATACTTGGAGGATCATGGGACGTAGTAAGTAAGGTTATAAGTACCCTAATTGGGGTTACAATTAAAGTTACCTTATTTATAACCCTAGTTACTAAGTCCTACCCAAGTCCTAGATTGGCTCCGCTCACGTCCTTGCTGCGGAGTGGGAGTTTGGAATCCACAGTTTCCTCTGAGATGCAAGGGTTGCTATTTCGGCCCCGCTAAGGGAGGCAGGACAGAGCCCTCCGTGAGTAATGCTGCTCCAAAGCCATTTCTCATAGTCCACCTACCACCAAGCCTAGCCACCTAGCGACCTACCTAGCGACCTACCTAGCCACCGCGCTAGCTAGCAAGGCAGCTAGCCTATCTACACATGTCCGTGTGTCTATGTGGCTATGTGTCTATCTATCTGTCTATCT